TAAAACACGAGAATCAACACCTCAAACGGTGTAAGAACAGGGGTAAAAACATGTGTAATTAACGGTCTATCATTTACGTTTGTGGTTCCAATTCATGGTCTTAGGAGACCATGAACTCCATTATTTGACCGTGAACTGTGGCTGCTTCCTGGATGTCTGCACTTCACTGTTACGGGGTAATTGTCACGGACTTCAGACCTTTCTTTGGTTTTTGCGCTTTTTGACTTCCAATTATCCCAAAATTCAACATCGACCCTTCCACACGTGCTAGGACCTGAAATGTACCAAAACAAGCACAACCAAGTGTGAAATATGTCGAATGATGAAATGCAAAATCAAACTATCAAGAAATGAGGGGCAAAATGTGTACATTTGGACCCGAATCATAGACACATAACAAACCCCAAGCATACACTAGCATTTATCACATCTCGATTCATGTTCATTCAACTTCTATGTTTATCATCAATGCTTACATTCATATTAGTGGTCATATGAGATGATTGAGAATGATGTCTTAAATTATTTGATGTGCACCTGTTGCACAATTTGGTAGTTAATAAACAAAAGGTATGAACATTAATAGTTAGCTATCTGTGTTCTACCCTAACCTTACTTTAAAGGATATGTCCACCAGATAGTGTAAGATATTGGATTATAGTGAGTAGAGTGGTCATGTGAATACTTTGATCACTTATATATATGCATAGTCGATTTAGGGGCCGTTTGGAAGTTGCCTATGTTAAATCGTTGAATTATTATGAATCACTATGATATAAATGCATGCATTGATACAATAGATGCATTTTCAAATTACATTGTTTGGTTGTTGAGATTATAATTTATGAATTGATTGTTATAAAGTTACTTTATAAGAAAATGTCATATTTGCCCCTCACTTTAATATAAAACAAAAAGAACTATGGACATAATTGGAAAAAGTAAAGGTGCTCAATTATTAAACCAACAATCACAACGATCTCAACTTTTAGTTGAGATTGTACAATCCCTCATTTTTGTTGATTGTTAGTGGGACCCACACAAAACAATACATGAATTTTTTTTGCAACTTGACACTTCCAAACGTTGTATTGTGGACAATACATATATTTAACAAATACAACACTAACAATCGCAACTTCCAAACGAACTCTTAATTACTAGTTTGGAAAGTCTAGGAGGAGAAACACTTATGCAGCACCTTTAATTTACTGTGTTACACATTTGGCACTGCTCTAATTTTCCTTCCTGTTTGTGAATACTAAACGTTTCCGATGCTTTCTAAACTAGAGGCATCTCAATCTGAATTAAAGTTCTATAAAAGAAAAAGATGTTCACTTTCTAAGTGGGATTTGAAAGTCCTTATGGGAATACAATCTTGATTATATACCACATTAATTTGAATTATATACCATAGTGGATCCTTGATCACCAACGTCGTTGATTATTGCTAGGTGACTTAGTTCTCATTGTTGAGAATATGTGAACCAAGTACTAGCCTAAATTATCTTAGGGATGAATAAAGAATTGTTACCACTCGAAGAAGTTCGAGGTTATACTGAGTATTTGCTACAACATCATCATCAATGGAGTTCATGATTATAACAAAGTATGAAAGTGGAAGAAAAAAATGAAAATCAACCTATTGGAGGTAGAATACTATACCATATCAGTGGATTACATGGTTGAGAAGGATTATCGAGAGAGGACCTGTATTGCATTATATGAGAATTAGCCAAAGAAATGTTTAGCCGGGTTTCACGGGAAAGCAAAAGAGAGGAGACTTCTCCATTGGATGGACGACAGAAGTGATAATTCTTCCATACATTTTACAAGTATATCTTTTTCAGTCTAACACAACCCGCTAACCTATCATTAATATTATGTATTTTAATGTGACAAACTAGTCCTAGACATACAATAATCAAGTCTGATTATGATTTGTGGCATCAACGGACATGACAAAACACAATTCTCAACATTATAAGAGTGCATCTCTCATTCACCTTACTTGCTTATTGGTATTTTATTTTATTTTTGGTGCCTGTTTTTTTAGGTTCAGGTTGTTAAGGCGGGGCGAGGATGCAATTTTTTTTTTGCATTTTCTTATTTTCCTTGTAAACTAGGATTTCATACCACTGTGTTTTTTTTTTTATGGTTAGTAAGATTGTGATCGCTTGTATTACAACCTTTCATTTTCTCTTTCTTTGTCTATTGAGATTTCAATGGTAATACTACGAAGGCGCTGCCCTTTTCTTTCTCTTTCTTATTGTCTCTTGAAAATATTTTTCTACCTAATTGATTATCTTACCCAACCTTATTTCTTATATTTTCAGGATAATACAAAATAGAGATCCTTCTTAAGAAATTAAGAAGGATCTCTTAGCTTTTGTTTTCTCTTTTTGTTTTCGACAATACTAGCCGAAGGAAAAGCAAGGTTTATTCCTTTTCTCCTCCCTCTTTCTTTGTTTTATATTCTTCACTTTTGTTTTTCATTAGATTTTTTATGATGCTTCTTCTTTATATATATCCTGTTATGTGTACTTTCCCTAAGAATGTCTTGTGAATTTGCTTTGATTTTGACTTTTGGATACCAATGCTTTACAATACGATGACCCAAAATTGAAAAGTATGCAACACGATTTATAGTTATCATGTAATAGCTTCCAATCTAGCTGCTTTCCTCTCTTAATCTTATGAGATAAATATTGGGTTTGACTATCTTGTCAAACTATGTAACAAAAGGAATTTGGTAAACATTTTGTGTTATATATATACCTATAAGAAATTAATGGGTATTTTTAATAATGAATTCAATATCCATAATTACGAAAAACCAAAGAAGGACACCATATTAATGAAAAAAATTAATAATAAGTTGTTGTTACATTGCTTGTGCTTATTAAATATTATATAAGTGTTTCGCTTTAACTTGGAAGCATATTTGCCATACATTTGGTTGATTAATTGCTGGAAAACTAAATGCCATATATGTTGCATGTAGACTCGATGGGAGGGGAACGAGAAGACAATTTGATTTAGCCTCTCAACTATTACTGAACCCCTAAGGTCTGAGGAAACCATTGGTCATAAGCACGTTTCCATCTATCCATATATATTGTTTTGGAGTACATTTGTGCATCCAAGAAGCTGCAATGTTAAAGGACAAGATTGAGAGAATCCTACAAGTTGATGCTCTACAAGGCCTCCCTATGGCCTCAGAGATCCACATCTTTCCCGTGATTCCAGATACTGATTCATTCTTGTTGGTGCCAAAAAATGATGATTGCGGAAACAAAGATGATTGTGCTGTTGTAGATAATTATCATCAAGATGAAGGGGGTATCGATGGACCAATAACAACGTCGAATGGTGAACACACGAGAAGATTCACAACGGGTAACATTACCATCCCATACACCAAAGTGAAAATCCTTTCCCAATATCTAGCAGCATTGACCGGTTCTTGCCACAATTACTGCAAGTATGGAGCAAGCAAAGAAGGTGGAGAAGATGTTCATGAAGAGACACACAACAACACGTCCACTTTGAAGAGGTTTAATGATACGCTAGGGAAAGGGCATCGTGACATGTTAAAGCAAGCTGCTACAACTTTAATGGAGATCAGGAGCAAGATGGCAGTATCCCAAAATATCACTCCAGCAAATACTAAAACACCGAGTACCTATTTTAGTAGCCCCAAACTCAATCCCTTGCGAGATGCCACAACTAATAAGAAAGGAAGCACTATCACTTCAGAAATTGTTCTTTCCCCAAACCCTCAAAGAAGCGATCATTCTTGTTACAAGAAGGGTACTAATAATAATCCATCTAGGCTCAAATCATCATCTACCTCACAATTAGGTGTCTTTGGCAGTCCAAAGTCATACACTTGTAGGAAAATGGTTGTTTCTCCCTCCGTAAAGAGTAGAATTCTTTTGACCAAACTAGGAACACCCTCATATACTTCACAAGTTGTTGGCAGTCCCAAACATCAAAAGTCAAGAGGATCAATGTCAGTGTCCAAGGTGGAAACTTCTTCTTCTGCAACAAATAAGCTGCCTATCTTGTCCAAGATCTTCTCTACATCATCATCATTATCTACATCATTTGTGTCATCATGCCATTATCCAAAGCCCCAAAAAGTTGAGCCTTTTGTTTCTCCATTTCATAGGAGGGCAGCTAGCATGTCCAAATCGTCACTTTTTTCTCCTTCGCTTACTGGCGCTGAAGATTCCAAAATAAGTCTTCCTACACAGCATAGGGTGGAATCACGAAGACCCAAATCTCAATTAGCAAATATCATTAGTGCCAGAGAAGAAATAAGAGAGCGAAGAAGCAAGAAGTTGGAAGCTTCAGTGTGTAGTTTGAGTGTGGGTTCTAGTTTTAGTAACCGAAAGACTACAGGTTCCCCAAGAACAAGATCTAGTGTGGAGAAGGAGACAGTTTCTTCTCCTGCAAAACCCAAATTCTTAAGGAGACGGTCCATCTCAGAACTTCTCAAGAGTCCAACAAAAAAATTTACAAGATTGAATTGTGAAAAGAGCATGAATAGGAAAGCCACCCCTTATCCCAAAGAGGATCAGGGTACCAGTAACGATACTAATGTGGATAAGCAGAATGAAATCAAAAAACTCAAGAATGAACAAGTTGAAAGCCAAATAAGAACATACGTTAGTGTTAATGAGACCAACATTAATACTAGTATGGAAGCAACACCTACCACAAATAAAAGAGGGTCGATTGTAGCTTCAGCAACTAAGAAACCTCAAGCCAGTGAAAACAATATCACTCAATTGAGTACACAATCTATAAGGAAAAAGAAGATGTTACAGCGACCAACACATCATGTTCATGGAAGTAGCTCTCCTCTAATCCTTGACAATTACAAGACTTTGCGGTGCTCTACACCTAGATCTGTGATCTCTGAACCCATAGCTAGATCCAAGGATTGTCATAGTGTAATATCATCCATTGAAAGCTGTGAAACTGACTTGGTCATGGAGCAGAAAGCAATGGAGAGAGTAATATCTTTGGGGACAAGTAGTAGTGCTAGTACCAAGCGTACAAGACGTGGATCCATATTGAATGTTGGAAATCATCATAATAACATAGATGAACAACCGAGAAAGCTGAAATTCAGGCCATGTAGAGTGATTGAGTTCAAGCCTGAGATTACAAGTCCAAGGAGGCTCAAGTTCAAGCGAAGAGCACCGCGAAATGATAGCTCGTGGTCCAAAGTTTACACAAATTTTGGGGTTTTAAGGGAAGGTTGTGTGAGGAGGGAAGAAATTAATCGACGAGTCGCGTTTGCGGATGTGGTTGATTATAAGAAAGTGGTATTAAGGCACCAAGATATGCAAGCAGATAAAGTACTTTTGCAGGCTTCAATAAACAACATGATTGAAGAAATAGTGAGTAAGCTGGTGGAGGACAAGAAGAGCAAAGTGAAGGCTTTGGTTGGTGCTTTTGAGTCGTTGAACACTCTTCATGATTCCAAAGTCATTCCCACTCTAACTGTATGAGCACTTCATCATCAATTATGTTGAGGGATGAGTTCTTTTTGAAGTGTTGGTGTGTTATGAATCAGATGCATATGCACATACATTACACTTAAAGTGGGGTAAGGTAGTAAACAAGAAAAATATATATATTGTTCGATGGAGATGAAGATAACGAAGATGGAAGCAAGAAAGGCATAACAAAAGATATAGTAGAACACTATTTTCTTTTGTTCAACCCTTACTTCTCCCCCTATAGATGCAAATTTAAGTCAGAGTTTTTCCCCCTCCTTTTTCTCTCTTCAAAATACTTGTTAGTTTAAGATGATAATGATAATTCCATAAGAAAGTGTTCAGTTGAGCGAACAAGAACTTTTTTTAATGATATTATCGATGGTCTTCAACTAGCATTTAACAATAAAAGCAAATTTATTCCTTTAGAACTTTAGGTGTACTATTCCAACTCAAGCCAAGTATAACTTGAATTGGTGAAGTAGTATAATGGAGACGGAGGCATATACATCTTGAACTTTATGTGTACTACTACTTGTGGCCTTAAGCTACTGTCTATTGAACAAGATGGTAGGGTTGGAATTTGAATTAAACTAAATTAACAAAATAGAAGAGATTAAACTAAGTATGAGGAAGATCACCAGAGGTAGGTTGCTGCTTAGGGTTCAATACCTCTAATTATGGCTTGATATGGGTTGATTAAAAGCTACAACCCAATGATCATGCAATTGTGACTTCAGTCTATATATTGGTGTTTAAAAATGACCTAATTGGATGGTCACCATTCTTTGATCATGAACAAAGCAATTAATCTTCTTTACTAAAGCAAGATATTAGCATATAATGAAACATCAAATAGATAAAGATAATAGGTATGATAATCATGCTAAAGCACAAATGCACTAGTAATTTATAGAGAGAGTGTGTGTGTATGAATAGGAGGAAGAAACCCAATCCAAAGTTAGATCCGTCTTCCCCTTTGTTGCAATAAGGCTAGCAGTGAGACCTTCTGATCTCGTCGTCGCTCACATTCACGACCCAAAACATGCCACATTTTGGGTCATGATCGTGGCTCTAGGCATGACATGACTCTATGTCTGCTTATCTTCTTCTTTTTCGACCTTCAAAAGTTTTTGGATTAGTAAGAAACTTGGCATACAAGTATACATGCAATCCATTCATTATCAACAAACCATAAGCATAGAAAAAGAATTCAACCATTGGTAAGCAACATATATATACAACACCCACACTTAAGCCACACATTTTTCACAATGTGCATAATCATATAGGTACAAGTCTACCTCTTTGAAGTACCAATGAACAAGGTGAAGGTTCGATTGAGGGTTCATTTAGGTTCAAGAAGATGGGGTTCAATTATATGGTGAATTATTTAGCAACAATGACCTTTTCAAGCTCGGAAAACATCATTCCATGTCGTGTCTCTCCGTCCGATTCAAGACAAATTATATGTTGCATTGTCACAAGGAGCTAGTAAAGAGTCATGATAGCGGTACCCGCAGGGCACACACAGTCTTAGAGTGAGGCATCTATTGTCCCTCGCTCTTTAGAGACTAGGATAGACATGTGAAGTCATGCGATGCTTGCCAAATCTTGAGTGGTGTGAACCAAAGGGATTAGATTCCCGAGTATATTAATTTTCCAGTAGAAGTATTCAACGTATAGGCATTGTTTTGATGGGCCCTTACCGTCATCATTCAAAAATTGTTTCATCTTAGTGGTAGTGGGCTATGTTAAGAAATGGGTGGAATATAACAATGATTTTACCCATTTTGGATGACACTTCGTGGACATTCATGGGAGGAATCTGATAGGCTCCTACTCAAACCCTCAATTCTATTCTTAACTGCTCATATTTGTTTTCTCTGTTGTTTTGTATTTGAAATTAAAGGTGCCTTCATTTTATTTTGAACTCCGATTCATTTCTAAAGAGATAGTTTAGATTAAGATTTGGGAAGTCTCTTTTCGTACTAATATTCAAGTTCGATGGTAGCTATAATCAACATTGTATTTCTTTGTTTTTTTTTTTGGGTACAAATCAACATTGTATTTCCCTTTATATATCTATCACTCTTACTACTAAACACAATTTTGTTGGAGGAAGCTTAGACAATGGCATCGAGAAATTAAGGAAAGCAAGAATGATGAGATGTCCTGGAACACCAGAAGCGAAGGTTCTGATGCTGTGATCAAATCAAGACAATCAAGGAATCAAAATTGATTCACAGATCAGCAAGCAACGGTCAAAATGAAGCAAGCTATATAAAGCTGGGATTTTTGGTAGACATGAGATATCATTTTTGGGCATATTCTAAGAACAAAATAGAGTGTTTTCGTGTAGTAGTTTTGAGAAGAAAAAGAACAGAGTTGTCAGGGAGAGAACTCAGGTTACAGAATTGGGATTATCAGGGTAGAGTGGTTGCATGGAGTAAAACTCTACAATGGGATTCTGATCGAGTGACGGGGAGTCACACTGAGATCAACCTTTGTACTTTGTAAATCGATCTAAAACCATCATAATGGAACATCGAAGGACTCAAATCAGAGATCATTCGACCGTGGACTATTCGATACTGATTTATCAGTATCGGAAACCACGTAAAAATTGGTTGTGTCATTGCACTGGTTCATTGTGTTAGCTAAGACTACTTTTACTCCCTGTTTGTGTTCTAGTCTCTGTTTTGCAGGTGATCGAGAACAAGAAAACAGAGCAGCAAGTGGAGAAGGACTGGTTTGCAGGCCGGCGAAAGGGAACATAAAGTTTGAGCTCAATAGATAACACGAAAGCGACTTTGGACTTAAAGCCCAACCAACTTCCTTTCGCTTAAAGTCTATTAGTTATTTTAGAAACAAGAAGTTGTTTAATCTGTCAATTTTCTATCGATCTATTGCACTCAATCTTCTTTTTCATCTGTGCTTAGACTAGCGTTTGTGGCTCTCGGTGAGGAAAGAAGCTTCACGTCTCGCGCTCGACTCAATCTACACATGGTATCAGAGCCCGACTCCGACAAAGAGGGCTTAATCACCTTCGAAGGAGATGAGTTCAAGCGCAAACACTGGAGCAATTTTTATGGCGGATGGATTCTCTCATACAAGAACACCAAGATTCGAAGGAGTGCACTACGGGTACTGGCGAAATCGAATGGAACTCTTCATTGGGTCTACAGATCCAGATCTTTGGGATATTATTCTCGATGGCCCTTTGGATGTAAAGGGAGTTCGAGGCAAATGGTCAGACACGGACAAAAAGAATTATCAGATGAATTCTAAAGCCACAAACTTGATGTACTGCACATTAGGACAAGAGGAATATCATCGCGTTACTGGATGTAAATCTGCAAAGGAGATTTGTGATAAACTTCAAGTAACGCATGAAGGTACGACTCATGTAAAGATTTCAAGAATCAATAGTCTGAAGCGAGAATTTGATTCTTTCATCATGAAGCCTGAAGAATAAGTCAAAGAGATGAATGAAAGATTGACGACTATTGTCAATAGTTTGATGAATCTGGGAATTGCATATGAGAGCAGTGATCTTGTCAGAAAGGTGCTATGGGCACTGCCAAAGAAATGGATGTCAAAGGTCACCGCAATTGAGGAATCAAAAGATCTCACAAAGCTCAGCCTTGACGAGCTCATGGGATCCTTGATAACTCATGAAGAAAAACTAAAGAGGGAAGAAGCTGAAGAACTAAAGAGGGAAGAAGTTGAAGAACCAAAGAAGGAAAGCCGCAACATAGCCTTCAAGACAACAGTTCAAGAAGAAGATTTTAAAAGTCTTGATGAAATGGAAGATGAGGAACTAGCTATGCTAAGCAAACATGTAGCCAAGCTAATGAGGTTGAGAAAAGAAAAGAGAAGAGGAGGGTTGATAAATCGTTCCAGGGAAGGAGAATATCAACAAAGATCAATCGATCTCTGCAAAACTAAGAAAAGAAGGAGCCGCAAGTGAGAAGCAACCATCTCAGGCTAGATGCTTCAAATGTGGAAGATTAGGTCATATAAAGGCTGAATGTCAAATGATGAAGAGGGAAAAGGCATACTCTGTAACCTAGAGTTGCAGTGAAGAAGAAGAGGATGATGATGAAGCTAGACATGCTGCTTACATGGCATCTATCGATCTTATTGGCTTGTTCTTGCATGGTGGACCTGTCTAGCAATCTGCATCTGGGTTCAGTCATAGCCACTTCTTTTGCCAGAGCCAAGGGGGGAAATCATTGTTATGTCACATCGATGGGTCCCTACATCACCCGCCTTGCTCGATACTTCAATGTCAGCCTTGCAGGGTGCTCGAGAGAAGGGCGCACCCAGAGATTTGACGAGGGAACCTTGCACTCCATGCGCTTATTTCACACCTTTGGACCGATTCGGTACATTGAGGGATTGAGTGTTGATCTAGAGGGCCCACCAGCAGAGCAACCACCTGCTCGAGCACCCAGCCACCACCAGTAGCAGCAGACGGTGATCCCCTCGACTAGAGGGCGGACTTCCCGCCTAGACCTCCTTGAGCTTGGTGGGAGTGAATTCCCGCCTAGACCTCCTCGAGCTTGGTGGGATTGACTTCCTGCCTAGATCTCCTCGAGCTGATGGCACGACATCAGGGCCTCCTTCCACATGAGAGGGAGGGTCCATCCACCCGCGAGAGGTAGCCGATGAGGGATACATGTGGCAGGCCGATTTCTTTTGCCTCACTTCTCCACTTGTAACTCTGAACTTGTTTCTGTTATTTTTCTTTCTTGTGTGTGTTACCATAAACTACAACTACTGTCGTATTGTGTTTGTAATAACCTCGCCCCGAGCGGTCGTATTGTGTTTGTGTGTGTGTTTTTGTCTTTCCTTGAAGCTGCAAATATCCTACCTCGGAATCGATTCCAACTTTCACTCACCAAGCCCAAGCGGTAACATCATTCTACCCCTATCTTACGCCATTGAGGGGAATGTCAAGCTTAAGTGTGTGTGTGGGGGGGGGGGGTAGTTGATTCTGGCCTAAT